ACCTCTAATTCATGTATTCCAAAGTCTTCTTGGACTGAGCAGGGTGAGATATTGCTCTACGTCACTTTTTTTCAATAAGCTTTCAAGCATTTTGACCAAAAGAAAAGTCATATATAAAGCCTATACAATAAATAAACCTTATGAAATAGCTTCTGTAACTACAGTTCATATTCTGCATAACAGAGTGACTAGTGACTCATTTGAACAAGTGGGCAGAAATAGGAAGCTAAAAATATTACCAGACATTACCTCTGCTTCCTCAGAGTGAGCTCTACAATTATCTTGCAATAGCACACAATTTTGCTATCCTCAGGCAGACTTATAATTTTTAAAATGACCTTCAAATAAAGGTGTAAAGATTCATCCCAGTGTTTTCAGAGTACTTTTGGAGGAAAAGCAGAATGATGTAGTACAAAAAACACAGTTCTTAGAATTATTTAGCTTGAGGTTCAAATTCTGATGCCTCCAATCGTTAGAGGTTATGGTATTAGTTAATTTCTCTTAAATTGTTTCCTCATTTATAAAGTGTTTGTAATGAAAAGAGACCAAATTTTATAGAGGTTACTATTATATGTATAGCTCATCAGCACATTTTAACCTAATGCTATTAGACTTATAGAACATATCCCATTCTATACAATACACCAAATAAATGCTTAGGAAATAATTACCATTGTTGTCTCTCCTTACCTTAACTATACTACTACACCTTACCACATAGATCCTAGAAGTTTATTAATGACATAAATATGAAGTTAATGGTATCTTTTATAGGCACACTAAAGGAAACAGACTTATTTATAAGATACTTGCATTAACAAAATAATTTTGAGCCTGCTACATTTTTCCCTAGTAGTCAAGGATCTTTAGCTGCCATAGCATCAAGCGTGGTTTCTTCTTCCATCACTAGATATAGGCTTTCTGATACTATCTCTCTCCCTCTCCACCTCTAATCTTCCCCCCAAAATTTCTCAATTCTACTAAATTTTTTCCAGCGAAATCGCCTTCTTCTAGCTCCACTACTAACTCCAATGTGAGTGACAAGCAAATGATATTCATATAGTATAGAAAAGCAAACATATTAGATAATATGAAATTGAAAGGAAATAGCCACGGACCATATTATTTTGTAACTTACTACATTATGCATAAGATATAAAATTTCATAAATAAAATAAAATATTGTATCTTGTATAAATATTATATTAAATGGAATTATTTGTTGCCAGTCTGCAACCCTAGGCTAAAAATACCTACCTCACAGAGGTGAGGAGGAAATGAAATAACATATGTAAAGATCTAGTACAAAGTGTTGGTCACCTTTGCTTACGTCACATTTATTACATATTACGTCTTTATATGTATACTCACACTATACTTCTTTTCTTGTTTCAGTTCTCAGTATATACATCGGTATGTTTGATATGGAAACAGAGCCATGGAGAGAAGCCCAGCCATGTATGTCTGGGTGAAGGATTCAGAGCTGTTTTCCTGCACCATCACTCTGCCCCTACACAGTTCATCCTCCACAGAGTGCAGAAGTTGATAGTGGTCACAGAGAGTCATTGCAACTGACTGGTCTGGGTAAATCCCTCACATTGACCTGCCAACAGCAATCAACGCCCAACTATAGAAGTGTATACTCACCCCACACAAAGGGCACACCTCAAGTACCCAGCCTGGGTGATATGGGAGACTATGCCACCAGACCCTTTGGGATACCTACTACATTAGGGCATGCTACCAAGACAGGGAGTCATAGAACCTCTACCTAATACACAGAAACAAACACAGGGAGGCTGCCAAAATGAGCAAACAAAGAAACATGGCCCAAATGAAAGAACAAATCAAAACTCCAGAAAAAGAACTAAACAAAATGGAGATGTGCAATCTAGCAGATGCAGAACTCAAAACACTGGTTATAAGGATGCTCAAGGAACTTAATGAGGATCTCAGCAGCATAAAAAAAGATCTAGTCCGAAACAAAGGATGCACTAATTGAAATAAAGAACAATTTGCAGGGAAACAACAGTAGACTGGATAGAGCCAAGAATCAAATCAATGATTTGGAATATAAGGAACCAAAAAACCACTAATCAGAACAAGAAGAAAAAAAGAATACAAAAACACAAGGATCATGTAAGCAGACTCTGGGACAACTTCAAGCATTCCAACATTCTCATCATAAGGCTGCCAGGAGGAGAAGAGAAAGACCAAGAAATTGGGAATCTATTTGAAAAATAATGAAAGAAAACTTCCCTAATTTGGTGAAGGAAATAGACATGCCAAGTCCTGGAAGCACAGAGAGTCCCAAACAAGATGGATGCAAAGAGGTTCACCCCAAGATACATCATAATTAAAATGCCAAAGGTTAAAGGTAAAGAAACAATCTTAAAAGCATCAAGAGAAAAGCAGTTAGTTACCTACAGGAGAGTTCCCATAAGACTGTCAGCTGATTTCTCAAAAGAAACTTTGCAGGCTGGGAGGGATTGGCAAGAAATATTCAAAGTCATATAAAGCAGAGATCTACAGCCAAGATTGCTCTACTCAGTAAAGGTATCATTTACAATCGAAGGGCAGACAGAGAGCTTCACAAACTGAAGGAGTTCATCATCACCAAATCATTACTGTTTTAAATGTTAAAGGGGTTTATTTAAGGAAAAAAAGATCAAAAACTATGAACAATAAAATGGCAACAAATGCATGTCTATCAACAATTGAATCTAAAAAATGAACTAATACTAATACTAATATCAAGCAAGAAGAGAGACAGAATCATGGATACGCAGCGTATTTTGATGGTTGCCAGATGGGAGGCGGAGTGTAGAGGAATGGGTGAAGAGGTAAGGGGATTAAGAAGTACAAGTAGGTAGTTACAGAATAGCCACGGCGATATTAAGTACAGTATAGGAAATGGAGTAGCGAAAGAACTTACACATATGACCCATGAACATGAACAATGGTATGAGGATTGCTTGAGGGAGTAGAGAGTGTTGGGTTGAGGTGGCAAAGGGGGGAAAAATTGGGACAATTGTAATAGCATAATCAATAAAATATAATTTAAAAAATAAATCTGTGCACTCAAAAAGACATGATTGTTAGGGACCAAACGCATATTTGTACACCCATGTTTACAGCAGCATTACTCACAACAGCCAAAAGGTAGAAGTAACTCATTCACCGACATGATAAATAGGTAAATAAAATGTGGCATATACATACTAAAGAATATTATTCAGCCTTAAAAAGGAATGAAGTTGTTCTTTTTTAAAAAGATTTTATTCATTTATTTTTTTAGAGAGAGGCGGGGGAGAAAGACAGGGAGAGAAACATCAATGTGTGGTTGCCCCTCATATGCCCCCTACTGGGGTCCTGACCCGCAACCCAGGCATGTGCCCTAACTGGGAATTGAACCAATGACTCTTTGATTTGCAGGCCAGCACTCACTCTACTGAGCCACACCAGCCTGGGCAGGAATGAAGTTCTGATAGATGCTACAACATGGATGGACCTTGAAAGCACTGTGCTAAGTAAAGTAAGCCAGATGCAAAAGGACAGATACTGCATGATTCCAGTTATATAAGGTACCTAGAATAATGTAATTCATAGAGACAGAAAGTAGAATAGCGGTTACCAGAAGCTGGGAGAGAGAGAAGAATGAGGAGCTGTTTAACGGGAACAGTGTTTCTATTTGGGATGATGAAGCAGTTCTGGAGAAAGTGGTGATGGCTGCGCAAAATTAATGTACCTAATGCCACTGAACAGAACTTTAAAAATAGTTAAAGTGATAAATTTTACATTAAACCACAATTAAAAACAATTTTTTAAAGTAGCACACTTGTTAAAAGATGTACATAGCAATGACACAGTACACCTGATCTATCTTCAACTGGGTGTGGCTAGGATCTCTGGTGAAAGAAAAGCAATGAGACATTTAGGAACTGGACTGGGGTGTTATGGGGTAAAGGGAATAGATGTAAAATTGAGAGCCACTTTAAGATCTGACTCTGTGGAAAATACATATTAAACCTGGGCCTATTCTCTCCAATACACCGTTTCTTTTTGTCTTTTTCTTCTGACACATGTTCCTTCCAAAAGAGGTTCAATATAGTCTTTCCCCCAAGCCCCTATTCTAAAAGTAAAAACTTAGATGTTCTAAGGCAGGGTTTCTCAGGAGAGGGTGATCTTGCCCCTCAGGGGACACCTAGCAATGTCTGGAAACATTTTCGGGTTGCCACAAGGTGGGTAGGATGTGCTACAGACATCTAGTTGGTGTAAACCAGGATGCTGTTAAACTTCACACAAGGCACAGGATAGCCTTTCACAACAACAAATTACCTGGTCCAAAATGCCAATAACGTTGAGGTTGAAAAATCCTGTTCTAGGATTTTACTAAGTTACCTAATTTCTGGTAGAAATTGATCACAAATTATTGCTTTCACTTCCCTATTTTTTTCTTTTTTATTTACATCTTTTATAGGAAAAGCAAATCTAAGCACATGTGCTAAGGGTAGGTCTTTTATTTTGAGGAAATAGGACGAGGCTCAATGTTGATGCTTTGATGACAAATGGGGGGTCAGCAAGAGGAGACTATGCTACCATTTTCTTCACCCTGGCCAATCCCACCCATGATACTCTATGTCATGGGGCAAAGTGACACACTGAGGGGGCCAAGCAGCTGTGTACAGAGAAGAAAACAAATAAAAAAAAAATTCCATGTGAAGCTAGTGAAGGCAGTGCCTATGCTATCTGAATTGGGTAATTCTTCATGGAGGCCATTTTGGGTACGAGGGTTTATCTATATACCTAAAAAAAGTTTTAACAAAAATATTTTAATTCAATTAAAAATTTAAGTCATGAATTTTCCACAACTAAGCGTACTACTTATAAACTCAACATACTATTTATGATTATCTAAAGCTTGCATTTCATCTAAGGAGCGATAACCTATTAAGTACATAATACTACTGTATCAGTATCAAGAACAAATACTTTTGCTTTTATTTTCCTCTTGTATGATATTAAATAATAGACTTGCTGTAGCAAGTATAATGCATTTGATATAATTTAACTATTTTAAGAAATCCATTAACATTAAGGCCATGAGACCATTAGGAATTCATTATTATGGTACACATTAAAATGGTGCCTTCTTACAAACATTTTGGAAAACTGACAAGTACATACTAAAACTGAATACATGCACATCCCATAACCCAGTAATTCCACTCCCAGGCATATACCAACAGAAATGCATATATACACTCACCAAAAGACATATATAAGAATCTTATTCACAACATTATTCATAATAACTCAGAACTAGAAATTCTTCAAGTGCCCATCAATGGTAGAATGAATAAATTTTGGATATTAAAAAATGGGTAAATTAATAGAATACTATTCAGCAATTAAAATGAACGAACTACAAATACATGCAACAATGTAAATGAATATCACTCTGGAAGTTGAATAATGACCTCTAAATATACCCACAACCTAATCACTGGAACCTGTGGATGCTACTTTATATGGCAAAGAAAACTGCAGATGGGATTTAAATCAAGGATCTTGAAATGGGCAGGTTATCCTGGATTACAGAGGTGGGCCCTAAATGTAGAGACAGAAGACTTGACTACAGAAGAGATGATGTGATGAGGAAAACAGAGGCTTTGAACATGGAAGAAGGGGCCACAAGCCAAGACGACACGTAGTCACTGGAAGCTGAAAAAAGGCAAGAAAACAGATGTTCCACTCACAACCTCCAGATTCAGGAACAGCTGTGCTTATGTGTTGACTTTGGCCTAATGAAAACTCACTTGGGCTTTTGATTTCCAGGACTGTAAGAAAATAAATCAGTGTTTTAAGTCATTAAGTTTGTGGTAATCTGCTACAGTGGCATCAGAGAACCAGTACACACACAAATATAATGAGCAAAAAAATACTATATTATACATGATTCCATTTACATAAATTAAATGATAGATGAACCTAACCTATTGTTTTATTAGTGTGAATAGTAGCTACTTCTGGGGAGGAAGAAGACAATATTTAAGATAGGGGCAAGAGGAAGGCTTCTGGGATGCTCATAATGCTGTGTGTTGGTCTCAGGGCTGGAAATATGGGTATGCTGAATTTGTGAAAACTCTTATATGTGTATTCTTCTATAAGTATGGTATATGCAGTTTTAAAATTGGTGCCTTTTCAACACTTAGCAATCTGAGAGTCTGCTAAAAAAAGACAGATATATATTCAAAGAGGTGGGAAAAACACTCACTGAACAGTAACTTTATTTCTCAAGAATGCTAAAGATCTGTTTCTCTCTCTAAATGACTAAAAAAAAATCCCGACAGAATAGTGACTTTTAAATGCTAAAAAAAACAAGCTAACAGTAAAACATTGCTTAATTGCTTTGTTATACCTGGACCCTAGGACTGTAAATTATAAAAATACATGTAAACCACATTTTCTAAAATAACAGTAAACAAAGGAAAAAGTCAGGCACTACATACCAAATGATCAAAATGTCATTTGGGTCTAAGATTCTTGAAACTAGCAAAAATGTTAGTAACAGAAGTCTGCCATTAATCTACATAGATCATTAAATGTAAAAACAATTTATAAAACACATCAGAATTTTATTGCTTGAAGAATACAGCATATGAAATCACAAGAATGTCCAAATGCAAAGTCACTAGGCTTCAAACATATAATACATTATCAGATGCAGTAAAATATTAATTAACCTGAACTCTGCATCAAAAAAAAAAGGTGTGGAAAAATATCTACGTTGTTTACTTAAGAAACAGATATACTTAAAATAGCAAGTATAAGGATGTTACAGTACAAATTAGAAAAGCCAACACTCATTAACTTACTGTTTCTTAGACTAGACTACCTTTGGTACTTAAACTTAAAAAAAAAAAAAAATCCCTTCTTTCTTGTCCACAATACTTCATAGATACAGTATTAACTTCAACTTAACACATTCAGCAAAATTAATCTTTTTGTGGCATGGGAAAACTGTATTTAATAAATGTATAATAATATTTCACTTTTTCTAAAACTGCAAAATATGATCATTAAGAAATCTAATACTTGTAAACTTTACTTATTTACCTCTCCAATTAAAATTGGAATCCTGGCAGCCACAAACTATCCTTGGGCCTGGTGAATATAGAAGTTTAAATGATTTGGCAACTGACAAAGAAATTCAGATTATGTCATACTATCTTAAGTGGCTTTTCCATTCTGTTTCCAAAATACAAACAAGATGCCATTTCTTCAACACACTGGATTTTTATAAAAATCACTACCATACTTTATTAGAACCAAATTAAAGTTTCCTCCCTTTTAATGAGCAGGTTGAAACTACTTTTTATGTTTCATATAGGGCTGATAAGTTATTACATGCTTTTTAAAACAAAACAAATCATTTTTTAAAGTTACCGCTCTATGATGGAGACAATGATGCCATTTTAAAGGAAGCATTGGACACTGTAGGGCATCTAGTCAAGAAAATGTAAGAGTAATGCTAAAAACAAACAATAAGTAAACTATAACTGTTAAGTTAAATTACAAAAAAAAAATCCCTCTTTATTGCAAGCGTGCTCATCAACTTTCATTTCTTACCCCCAGCAAAAGCCTGAATATTCATTAACCTCAGTTAAACTGATGGAACCTAGGCAACTGTTTCACAAATTCCAATAAACATGGATAGACTAAGCAAGTAATACTATGACAATTATTGGAGTGAAATAGTAAGAATCACGCCAGTCCTCAAAACTGGACAGTCTTTGAAATGTGATAGTATAGCTCAGGATGAATTATGCAATAATAAAACAGTAATTTTTACCTCTACATAAAACAAAAACAAAATCGGAAATATAACCCACCAGATGTATACAAATAGTATCGAACACACCGCTTCCTAGTTTCTGAATGTCTTGTTTTGAAATTCTTTCAAACAAGTATATTTATCTGAGTGTGTATGTATGTGTATATATACACACACACATATTTGTATATCACACATATATACACACACACAGATGTGTATATATGTGTGTGTACATATACAGCTTGTAGATATATATATACACACACACAGATGTGTATATATGTGTGTGTACATATATAGCGTGTAGATATACTCATTTTAAAAGACAAAAAAATCAGGTATTACAGAACTGAAGTCTGTGTTTTTTTCACCAATTTGATCTAATGTCTACTGCATTGCACAGCACCTCCCAACCTAATAATTTAAAATTCCCAATTTTTAGTTTAGTTAAAAGGGCAGAGGAAATGAATGCAGATTTAGAGTTTCTGTATAAATTTCACTATATTTTTATAAACTTGGAGTTTTCTGTAACACTGTTTATTGATCAATAAAGGACTTACTGCTATCTAAAATCTCATAAACACCATTAAAAATTCAAAATTGATATACTGAACCTTAAATTTTCAACAGTTCAAAGAGACAGTTTTTACATGAATAGCACACAATAGATGAAAGTTAACAGCAGACATCCCTAGAATACCAGTGGCAAGTCCACCAAGATGCATACAAAATTACAGATAAGTATTTCTTTCACTGTTTTCTTGTGCAGGGAAAAACATTTATAGAGGAAACAGAACCTCAGCTGGTGAATTTCAGATGTCATCATCATCTTCTTCATCCTGAGAAGATCCTGCCTGGTTAGATGCACTGGCTGAGGCAGCAGCAAGCTGTGCTTGTTGGGCAGCTTGCTGCATTTGAAGCCATTCCTGCTGGGCCAGTTCTGCTTGTTGCTGTCTGGCCTAAACACCAAAAACATAAAAACAAATAATTTTTTAAAAGCCCACAACATACACACTTTGGTTAAATGTAGATTAAGCCAATTGCAGACTGAGTCATCAAATCTGGGTATTTCCCAACTACTATACAGGGTAGGGCAAAAGAAGGTTTACAGTTTAAGTAGACAAAACTGAGTTTATTATTGTATTACTTATTAATTATGATATCATTTTCTGTATGAACTGTAAACCTACTTTTGCCCCACCCTGTATAATGTTGTACATCTGAAGAACAGGAACTCTACGAGATTGGTTCTCTTACGGACAGTGCCCCTTTATGTCACATAATTTATGACCTTTGGTTCAACTGAAGAAGCTGAAAAAGTTGACAGAAAAATTACAATATTCTCTCTTTGGTTCCTTTACCTGTGTTTCTCTCTTTGCTTTGTTTCACTTCATTCTTCTGTTCTCTCAACTTACAATTTTGATGTAAACATTTTTCTATCCACAATTTTTTCTGTAGTTTAGACGCTCTCTACTACAGTACCCTTAAGTCTTAGGGAAAAGTACAATACATGAATACTAGAGCTATATTGATATTTCTTTTGAGTTTCTATCACAGCTATAGTGATAATACATCTTTTTTTTACCTCTTCCTCCTCTTCTTCCTCTGTAAATACACCCATGTGCATAGCTCACAGACACATACACCCTTCCCATATACACATTAGTGAAAAGGCACTTACCAAGGACTGAATTTAAATGGGATAGTTAAAATCCATTCATTTGATATATCTATCCTCTATAAAAACCACAGTATTTTAGAAATGAAGATGCATACATATGCAATACATGCACTGTGGCATGAGCTGAGACTCCTTCCCAATTTAATTTCATCCATTAGCAGAAACACCACATGAAGAAAGGAAAAAAATAAATGTTCTTAAAAAGATCATATAATTTCCCATTAACTGCTATCAAAACAATGCTGTTTCTCCCTCTTTGACTTTTCTCACAATCATTCCTTAAGCCAGGCTCCTATCCTCCTTTATGCATGGCCAATTCCTAGTCATCATTTAAAACACAAATCAGAAAGCCTTGCTCTATTTCACATATGCCATAATTCTCTATGTATTTCCATAGTTTGTTCTCTAATTATCTAAGTATATGTCTTTTTTTCTCCACTAGACTTAAGAACAGAAACTGTTTTCATATTCATTCTTGGATTCCCAATAGATAGGCTACCAGTATTTTCTGAGTGAATGCTTCATGAAAAAACCATGATGTACAGTGTATGCTCTACACTCTTAACTTTTCTTAATAATCTGTCATGAGTTTATTACCCAAACATTTTTAGAGAATTCTATTCAGGTCATTATCATACTTTAAAAAAAAATCATTTAATTGTTACCATTTAAGTCTAAATTTCTCAGCCTGTAGTTCAAGGTACTCCAAATTACTGCCTGCTCCTATCTATTGCTCTAATCTTTTTTTGTAACATGTACCTTGTACAAAAAACAAAACACTAGAACATAAAATATTTCCCAAACATACACCATCCCCTCACATTTTCCCTAACTTTACTCATGCATTTGAAATTTCCTGATTTTCACCTACTAAAATTCCACTCTTCCTTCAGGTCAAACCAAAATACTATTTTCCCATTAAGCTTTTTCCTGATTCCTTCCAGTAATATTCAGAATCTAATCAGGAGACAGAAGTAACACTAGTTAGGAAAACAGAAAGAATGTAGTATTTGTTAACCAAGTATAAAGTTGTTAACTAGGAAAGTGAAAAGGCAAGAAAAAAACACTAACATGTCATGCAGGCAGCAACTACAGAGAGCACCCACCAACCCTAAAACAGGGGGAACAAGGGAAAAGCCTGGAGTTTTTAAAACTTAGGAGCTTAGAGGAGCAACCCATGGAACTAAAATTCAGACCTCTGAAAAAAGAGCCTAGATGGACTGATACTAGAATCTGAGCTTGGAGGAGAGCCCCAAAGTTTGAGTCTCATCCCTGAGGAAGGAAATGAATGTTCAGGCTGGTTCTATAAGTATTAGAGAAACTGCAAACTAGATTCAATTCCTGCCGCAGGAAAAAATTGATGCAGCCAGAATGAAGATGCATTGCTAGCTTGCTGAAAGGAATGCAAAATTAACTGGAAGTAAAAGAAAGAAGCCCAAGTGCTGTCTTCCTCCAGCCTGGCAATCGCCCTCTAGAGCCTCTGCAGCTGGCATTAGAGTCTAACAGTAGTCAGCTAGAAAAAATGGAAATATGGTTTGGGGAGTACTAAGCCCTGTCACAAAGTGGAGCACAGAAAGGTGGATTTCAGGCTGAGACAACTGCTTAGGAATTGGCACACACTGATACCACCAAAATTGAGTATGATGTCTCTGTACTTGGATTCTCTTTATATCTTCCTCATGAGAATAGTCAGCCTCATAATGCAGTTGTTAGTGTACCTCTATTATACCTCCTCTGCAAAAACTTCTTTTGTTTAGGAAATTACAAACCAGGTATCGTCTCTAATAACTACTTTCCCCATTTGTATGAAATGGAGAAGTAGTTATGGAAAATAGCTATTCTAACACACAGGCATATTTACTTTTATGACAGGAGTGCCCAGAGTTCAAAATAGACTAAGAGTGCTTCACAAAAAACATTTAAAGACTTCATGAGAAAATTGTAGGGCAAAACAAATATGTGAAATTATCAACTTAAGAATGCCTACTCTGTGGCCTAATCAATTATAAATACATGTAATTTCATAGCACAGAAAAAACTCAAATAATATCAAGTCTCTACACAGGTTTTATTGCAAAAGTACATGATCTCACAGTTTATTCAATGATCTGCAAAGGCATGTACTGGTTATATCTAAAATTTAACTGACTTTTAGGTACCATGGCCCCATATCAGCTTCTATACTTTTATCTCCAAACATGAAAGCATTCTTACACCTTTAAAATCATGGTTGATTGATAAATTATATTTGTATTCATCTCCACAAATTAAAATTCAATAGTATTTATTCTAATTTCCTTCCCCCCTCCTGCCTCTTACCCAGTCCATCCCAAGTGTTTTCTCTCTAAAATGGAAGTATGAGAGGTAAGCAGGCATACACTTCCTAATTCATTTCTTCTTTTGGAAGTTTTCACTGTTTTAAGATTCTCACTTTCACTTACTAAAATGACTCATTTATAATTTATAGTTAACTTCAATCTTGATTTTTTATGTACCCCCCTTCTCAATTAATTGCCTCTAGCAATGAAAGACAGCTAATTGTGTATTTAAAATAAAGTCTAAAAGAAGAAATGAAATAAAAATGATGAAAAAGACGCTGTATTTACTTACCAGTTCCTTTCATATTTAGGACTTAAGTACTTTGTGCTCTAGGGAAGTCCTAGGCAGCTGCTAAAATTTTACCTCTGCTAATTTCCCTCACTAGACCAAAGAATCTTCACCCATAGATCAGGGAAAGAAAAAAAGGGTCACAAGGAGGGGGAAATAAAAAGCAGATGACAAAGAAACAGAGGGGAACATAAATTTGTCAGGCCGTCAATTATTTCTTTCATTCATCTTTTTACTCTGGAAAGGATAAAGCATGATCCACTTAAAAATACCAAAATAAATTTCAGTAGATAAAACGGTGGCTAGAGCATTAGCATGGTATTGTAGAAAGAGCACAGGTTTTGGAGACAGAAAATATGAGTCTGAATCAAGACTCTAACACTTTCTAACTGTATGGACTTCCCCGTTTTGTTTGTTTAACTCAATCCTTCCTAGTAAACTAAGCTGCATAATGACAGGAACTATGTCTCTTGTATAATGTTACAAGCCTTGCATTTAGCACTATGTCTGGTAAATAGTGAAGACTTTAGTAAGTATCTGTAAAACGAATGAATAATCTCATGCAAGTTTCTCCATCTCTGAGTCTGTTTCTTAATGTATAAATGGATATAATAAAATTTATATTATACATAAAAACTCTACAAAGTGCCCTGGCCAGGTGACTCAGTTGGCATGTCATCAAAAGGTTACAGGTTCAATCCCTGGTTGGGGTGCATACAGTAGGCAACCGATTGATGTCTCTATCTTTCTCTCCCTCCTCCCACACCTCCACACCCCTCTCCCAGCCACCTTCCTCTCTCTTAAAAAAAAAAAAATCAATAAGCATATCCTTGGGTAAGGATTAAAAAAACAAAAACAAAAACAAAGCCTCTGCAAAAGTATTTTAAGTATCTAGCAGAGCATCTTTTTCCTTTCATCAAATATATAATTTGGCACCCTATAAGTGATTTGCAATAGTAAAGAATCAATAAATGATACTCATTAAGGGTTTTTTTTTTAATCATTACTTCTTCTTTGTTACTTTGTATTCATATGGGTTATAACACTGTTTGGATGTGTTCACAACTGCCTCAAATGCTTATAGACTTAACCATGTACATTCATAAATTATCCCACATCTTATTGTGAGGACTAAATAAAATAATACAGTTAAATTACTTGGTAATATAATAAACACATGGTTAGAACTCAATAAATGTTAGTAAACTTTTATTTTATTACAGTGCCAATCCAGAATAGATTACCTAAAGTGACACTTCCCAGTTCTAATGGTAACTTACAGTAACTGGTAGGAAATCTTACTTCTATTCAACCCAAAACTGCTTTACAATTTCAAATGAGAGGCCAGATCTTAGTAGACAAAAAAACAGCCTCATCTCCGCCCCCTCCCCCCGCTTTTTTTAAATAGGGGGAATATCGGTACTTGGGTACTAATCCTTTACTGAACTGTATAAAGCAATGAAGAAGTTTTCTTCCTTTCTCTGCTCCAATGGCTCTTCAAAAATAATTTTAAGATTAGAGCATTTTAAAGGGGTATTTAAGATCTAATTTAAATACAAAGTAGATGGTAATCAAATGTTCCTTACATGCCACTCATCACAAATTTTGACAGTATTTTCTCACCAACCCATCATTTTAAATCTTAAGAATATTTAGGTATACTTTTCATTCTTGTAAATAATCATTCTGTCTGGGAAAAAAAATCAAAGTAAAATCTCAGTAGTTATTTGGAGTCGTTCTCCTTAGAAAACAGATAGCTACAAATATTTACTTTTACATGAAGTAAAAAACTGGCCTAATAGAGTCAAACTGGCCATCTCTAGACATCAGTCTCTGTGATCAAATAATCAGCCACAGAAAGAAAATCCTCTGGAGTATGCTGATTTAGGAAATTACTTAAGAAACCATTCTTATTTCTATTGGCAAACAGGGTAGGATTCAAATGAAAATAATGTAAAATACATCACTTACTTTTGCAAATAATTCCTGTTGCTGCCTCAATAACTCTTCTTCAGGAATGCCAAGGTTTTCCAAACGAGAACTGGCCTTTCTTCTTTTTAATGCTACAGTCTTGCATTCTTGTAAAACTTCTTTTACTTCACTAATATAAGAGCCAAAGCCCAAACTTTCTAGGGCTAGGAAAAGGAAAGTATGAAAACATGAAAGAATGATAGAACACAGCTTATCCTCTACATATGGAACTTAAAAGTTTTTGTAGGGTTTTTTTTTTAGGAGATTGTTGTTTTCTAATAATTTTAACTACATTCTAGTTGCAGAGCAATTATCTGGATGGCTATGACAAAATATTTTGTTAACTTTCTTAATATTAGATTGAAAATTAGTTAAAACTTAAGAAACATTTGAAGGCACAAGCCTCCTTCATTTTCCCCTTTCTTTCTGACTAATTTTTAAAAAACCAAAGCACGTCCTGTGAGGGGGAAAAAAAAGTCCAATGTAAGAACATGTGGTTTTCGTAAGAAAACTCTTTTCCTATACCATTCATAATAAATCAAACATCATTAAGTCAGTCATTTTCTCAAAAAATATAAAAAAAGCAAATATTTGGAATATATTTGTTAATAACACATTTTGTGCCTTTTGACTTAGAAAAAGTAGGCTTTGGTAACACATGCTCTAAATGTCAGGAGGACAGGAGGATGAAAGAATAGATAAGTTCTTTTGTTCAATATACCAAGAGGAACTATTTTTAGCAAAGACACTCAAATTGCCAAGTTAAGAAATACTGGTGGAAATAACTTATGAAATTCAGCACTTATATTCAGCCAACAAGTTTCTCTTGAAAATAAAACTTAACAGGAAACACTATTAAAACATTTCAAGTGTTGTGGCAGAAAAACTGGGTTAAAGGACAATTATAAGGATAGAAGAAACGTTAATAAAAAAATTTTTTTTTCACATTTTGAACAATATTTTTAAAAGAAAATGCACTATCTAAATGCTTTCTATAATTGAGAAAAGCAAGGCATAAAATTTCCTTTTGGTTCATAGTACTCAAAATTATGTTGTATAGCTCTACATGTTGACTAAGACCCTAAAGGCATATTTTGTTTTCTGAGCCAACGATGAAATAAAGGTAGTGAGAAACACAGTAAATGAACTTAATTTAGTTCATCAATTCTTGTCTTCTTTTAACAATTATGATGAACCAGACTGCCCCCAGTAACGATGCCCTAAATTCTAACTTCAGGGATTTGCTCTTCAGGGAGAATACCAAATGTACCTTTACAAATCCACATTCCCACTGTGAGCTGTGGTTTTAAGACATTATAGCCCTGGCTGGTGTGGCTCAGTGACTGAGTGCCGGCCTATGAACCAAAAGGTCACTGGTTTGATTCCCAGTCAGGGCACATGCCTGGGTTGTGGGCCAGATCCCCATTTGTAGGCATGCAAGATGCCACTGAGTGATGTTTCTCTCCCTCTCTTTCTCTCTCCCTTCCCCTCTCTCTAAAAACAAATAAAGTCTTTTTTTAAAAAAGACATTATAAATGACTTCAACTTTAATTACTTCAAATGTTAAAACAGTTTAATCAATCTTCTTTAGAAATAATCTGATGCCATAAAGCAAAGTACTATTATTGGAACTTTAAGTTAGCTTACTGACCCTACCTTGAAACCCAGAAAGCTTCAGTATTTTGTAAGTAGGTAACATAAGAGAAACATAAATTTCAGAAAATCATTATTCTGATTTCTGTACACCAAATTAACTACTGTATAATTCTTGGCCTGAATGAGCTTGGGGTATAGTAGGAAATTAAGTGAAGGTCAGACAGTCTGTATTTTTTACTTGAATTAATAGATGATTATTTTTTAAGTATCAATGTTAGATGCCAATGTTTTTGTCTTTTTTCTTTTTTAAAGGCACAAGCATTATAGTGTATTTTCAGTAATTTTGACTGGAGACAATACCAAAAAAAACCAAGTGAATGGTTCAGGATTTCCCACCACATTCTAAAAAAAAAAAAATCTTACTTCCTTAGCCCTGTACCACAGTTCCCCAGGATCTAGCTCCACCAATCTTTCCAGCATTTATGTCTGCCATTATTAAATCCCTGCATACTTCTGCTAAATCTCCCTGCTCAGTGTTTTCCAGCAGGCACCAGTTCCCCACATTCATGCTGATGATAATGCATTCAAGGCCCAGATCAAACTCCATCTTCAAATTAAGCTTGCCTGATCATCCTAGATAGAAGTAATTGCCCCCTGTTGAAATAAGATAATGCAGAATTTCAAACTTGGTTGTCACTGCATTCGTATTGGAGGACCTTGGTTATGCTGCTTAACATCTCTAAGCTTCAATTTTCCATCTCCAAAATGAGAATAGCATTTATTCCATAATATCTCCCTACAACCAGAAACAGTATAGTGGTTAAGCAAGAAGGCCCTAAGGCTGCCAAGGACTGACCCCCAGCTCTACCTCATATTAGCTGTGTGACCCCACATAAGTCCCTTCACCTTTGCCTCTAAAACAAGAATAACAGTACCTACATCTCTTCAGATCAGGTTGCTGTGAAGAATAAATTAATATAAATAAAGAACTTATAACAGAGGGTGGCCCGTAGAAGGAACCAAATAAAATATTATTATATTTGTATTAGTTCTAGGGTTATAGGAATCAACAATTAATTTAAGAAATTTAATATAGTGTTTAGTACATAGGAGGAGCTTAACTAACTTAGGCTATGTATTATTCATATTTGTTTTTCTCTTACATTTAAAAGACTACCCTAATAAGGATACAGGATCTAAATAAATATATAGCTATGCATTATCACACCTATACTCAAGTTGAATGAGTATATTTATAATACAAAATATTAAATTTACAAAATTAACAAATGAACTCAGTGGAGAGATACCTCTTCAAAATATTATGAATTACTAGACTAAATATTTTTAAAAATTCATACCAAACTACCTTTAATCATAGAGGATGTGGGTTAAAAATTAAAAACAACTCACCTTTAAAAACATTTAAGGTTAAGAGCACTGCTTTCAAAAAAATATGCAAGTTAATCCAGTTAATATTATTCAATGATCTACTATACACAAGTACTGTATTCTTAATAAAATGGTTTCACAGGAGCAGCCATAAGTTTAAATTAAAAAACTGAATTGACTTTAATCCAGATTTTAAATACACTTTGGCTAACATATTAACAACTGGATATACTAACTTCTAAACAGGGAGGTATTTTACATCATTTCTTACTATGTGATAGTAATCGTTCCCATTTTATACAAAGGAGAATCTTAAAGGATAAGGGAAATGGCCTTTAAGAAGGGTCATTGTTTACTTTTATGCAGGTTATTCAATGCACAACAGTACCATATCTAAGGAAGGCCATTCACACTGTAAACATCATGGATTTGTATGGTTACAATATAATGTTATAATTTGTATGTTAAAATCTGCGCTTTTTCTGGCAGATGGTAATAAAGGTTTTTAAGGAAGGAGTGCCTTTTTCTAATATGTACAAAGGGACTTAATGGACTGTTAATGGCACTGGCTCTAAGGACCTTGGAGTAAAAGCCAAAAAATAAAAATAATTTTTTAAAAATTTGTGGGTAAAACACACACATCACTTGTTCCTCAGAGGTTTGGCTGCTACCCTCTGCCATTTATCTTAAAACTATATCCACAAAAATAAATGGTATATTAGGGGGAAAAATTACTTAGCACATTTTTCAATCTGAAAGAGCGATGCTGACAAGAGACCTACTTAGGGGGGGAAAAATAACTTCCACAAGCAATAATATTTGTAATGCAGGCTTATCTTACCATACAAAAATGATGTAATCCTGAAAAGTTCTGTTATAACAAGAATTTGAATTATGAACTTTTTACTTCAAAATATAATGCATGTTTTTCATTAAAAAACATATATAAAATAACATTCTCTAATTTCTCTTATTTTATTTTGTTTGTATGTTGGGAAGGGAGGGGTGTGATGTAGTTCACTTAAAATACATTAAAAGGATGCAGGCTAAACTGACTTTTTGGCTCATTAGCCTGGCAAGGTTTCTGAAGACCCTAAGAACCATGTCCTCTATGGTATTACTACTCCTGGAAATTTGGGAAAAGAGACTGATAACGGAGCAGGAATCAAGTATCACTCATCTTTACATCCTTAGCTGTACCCAGCACAGTGCCAACTACATAGTAGTATCTAAAAGTAATTCTTGGATAGCAAGAGAGAAACAAAAGACATATCAATTTTAAGAAAAATAGTAAAAATCCTAACTTGAAATAATACTGATTATGTGATAAATTGTGCAGTGCAAATTACATGTGTCTCTCTGGAAAAAAATATCAGTATGGATGATTATTTAGGCAACATAGTATCATTCTCATTCTCATTATTATTACAACTCAGCAATCACTTAGCTCCTCTGATTTCAAAACTACTTTACATCCACTTTTGAAAACAGACTGTGGTTTAGGCGAGAGCAAAGTTACTCAAACTATAGTCTATAGACTTGTGTCAGAATTGCTTGTAATGTTCTGTGTAAGCATTTAAGAGACTTCACAGCAAAACTGTAACTATATGAGGTGATAGATGTGTTAAATAGCCTTGTTGTGGTAATCATTTCACAATATATACATATATCAAATCATTACATTGTACAGCTTAAACTTACACAATGTTATATGTCACTTATATCTCAATAAAGGGGGAAAAACCTTTATAGCAATTTGACAGAGTGATTTTATGTTTATTAAGTATAACAACAGAAAATATGTTTGTTTATGCCTTTTTTCTTATTTTTCTAATGAGTCATTATTATATTTACAAAAGAACCAGTATGAGAGGGACTAAAATTTTTAAAAAGGCACTCAACATAGATAACTTGGAGCACTCAACTGCTACATAAGCAAATCCTCAAAGACTTTTTCAAACTTTCACTATTTTCAGTTACTATTCTCATAAATGTGAAAAAAAGTGTAGCAAGAGGTTTAAAGTGCAGAAAGAAAATAATATCAATATATTCTTACACTTTAAGGTTAAACATAAACTTTCAGCTTTGTATTTTAATCAGAAACACTATATGAGTTTTAAAAATTATTATTTATGCCCTCGTTGGCGTGGCTCAGTGGAGTGATTGCTGGCTTGTGAACTGAAGGGTTGCTGGTTCAATTCCCGGTTGGAGCACATGCCTGGGTTGTGGGCCAGGTTCCTGGTTGGGGGCCTTGTGAGAGGCAACTGATATGTCTCCCACACTGGTATTTCTCTCCTTTCTCCCTCCCTTCCCCTCTCTCTAAAGGTAAGAAAATAAACTCGTAGGAAAAATTATTATTTATTGTAATGTATTTCCTGTGAGGTTCTCAACCCTGATTCTCAATAGATTACAAGCTGTACCTGAAACCATTAAGTATTATTTATACATAAATGGGGTAACATTTAACAGATATGCCTAAGGTGAAAGACTTTCCAGTTGCACAACTTGCAGCTCTTCACTCTTAATGTCAATTCTCTCCATAATGTAGCAGAAAATGTTAAAACTCATAGAACTCATTTCAATGTTCATTGAAACCAGCAATGGAACAAAAGGAACACTTTAGAACTTCTATTTGTGTATCTGTGATTGTCAATATTAAGTCTATTTTCTTAAACTCAAAATAAGCAAGACATTTAGAAAATTTTTTTAAATTTAACCTTATAGTTATAGTATTTCACAGATTTACTGGCAATAAAATTACCTCAACTTTAACTTGAATATTACAGAACTGACTCAAATGCTTAATTTGCTCTCATAAGATAAAGTGGCAAATGAACAAGCGAAATGTCCTGATGCAAAGTCTAGCTCATTAAACTTATTATTTAAATCTCTAAACTTCAGACCTGACTGGTGTGGCTCAGTTGGGTCTGATTCCTGGTCAGGGCACATGCCTGGGTTGCAGGCCACTGAGAGGCAACCGATCAATGTTTCTCTAACATCCATGTGTCTCTCCCTCTCTTTCTCCCTCCCTTCCCCTTTCTCTAAAAATAAGTAAAATTTAAAAAGCAAACAAACAAAAAAAGCCCTCCATACTATTTTAAAATGAACATTATTATTCCACTTGGATATATACTACATTCCTAAATAACCAATGCTGACAGAAAGTATAAAAAATGTTATTTCTACCATGATTTACCTAGCTTTCCAGAGTAAGTCTATAAAGACATATTTTAAAAGATCTAAAATATACGCATATTACACTTTTTTTTAAAAAAAGACTTTATTTATTTATTTTTTTTAGAGAGAGAATGGAAGGGAGGGAAAAAGGGAAAGAAACATCGATGGGTGAGACACATATGGATGGGTAGCCTCTTGCACACCTCCAACTGGGGACCTGGCCTGCAAACCAGCCCTAGGTCCTGACTGGAAATTGACCTGGCAGCCTTTTGCAACCTTTCGGTTCATAGGTTGATGCTCAATCCACTGAGCCACACCAGCCAGAGCTTAAACATTTCTTTAAAAAAATTTTAAGCACTCAAGACAAAAAAAAAAAAAAAAAAAAAAAATCTTTAAAAAATTAACATGAGACTAATATGAAACCTAAAATCTATTCCTCTAACTGGGGAGAATTTTGGGCAAAAATGGTACCTTACCCACTAAACAATGTCAATGTTACAAGGTGGAGAAAAGGTAAATTTATAAGACTAAAACAAATAAATACATGATTTTTTTAAGTTAATAAATCATATTCAGTACACAAAGGAAATGCTTTTACTGGAACTTCCCAACTAATCCTGTAAACTGAATTTATCATACTCCAAGTTGAGGCATTTAACCACTGCTTGCTACAGCTGCACTTTTATACCATCATGTCAATCAGAAATCTAAATATATCCTAGAAAAGAAAACTCTACCCAAGAAGACAGATTGTAGTGTGTTATTAGGTTTTTGGAATGATCCCCACTTCTGTGGTATAAATAAATGTTTAGGCAGATCCTTTAGAAATTTTTTTTTGCAATTTACATTAGAAAGGCAATGTTGATAAAAAGAATCTTTTTCTTTTTTATGAGTTGTAAAAGGAAATTATAGCTATCTGTATTGGGTAATCTTGTGAAGGACTTACAACAACAATCACACATACAACGTAAAACTAAAAACACAAGAGGAAAATTAGACAATTTGACTTTCATTTTACTGCCAGAGTATTCAGCATACAAAAAAAGTAGAAGTTTAAAAATCAAATATGCTTTTTCCTAGGGATTTATGTTCTCCTTATGTACTAAAATGGAAATGTAAGAGTATATTTTAAATCTACCTTCCACACATAATTAAGGACTAACAATGAATCACTTAATCCTTTTGTCAATATTGACAGTAAAGTATTGGATATGGGGAATATGAGCAGATGTGTTTTCTACTTCAGAACAGGAAAAGTCACCCTTTAAAAAGTTAAACTATAAAAAGTAAAATGGCAGACAGCTACATGCCTACCAAAATGATAAAATGACTGTATTTCTTCAAAAGCAATCAAGAAACTGACAGAATTTTAATTGATTACAAGAAACAAGTTATCACCTCAAGTTGAATGATACTTTTTTTATAAGAGTACACATAAGTGCCTCCCAAAACATTATGACTAGGAACTCTGTCTCCCCATACCTAAAACAAAACATCAGAATGTAGTCTTCAAGTCTCTATTACTGGACTAAATCCTTTCCAATATAAGAGAGAAGAAATTGTTGAAAATTTCAGAAGTGCTGTTCAATAAAAGCCTAAGTGTATACATCTAAATAATAATGGCATCAGGAAAGAACAAGAATATTCCATGATATATCTTACAATCTAGTAATAAGCTTTAAAAACTTATCTACATAGAACAAGGGACGCTACAGAGAAGGAAAAGAAAAAGAGAGAGAGAGAAAGAGAAAAAGGATATTCACCCTTTTTTTACATAATAGAACTGGAGTGCTTTTGGTAACAAGGATCATTAAAACATTTTTATTAAAAAAATTTTATTGATTGATTTTAAAAAGAGAGAGGAAGAGGAAGGAGATGGAGGGAGGGGCGGAGGGAGAGGGGAGAGACACACAAGAGACAAAGACAGACAGACAGAGTAATCGACTTGTTGGTTCACTTATTGATACATTCATGGGTTGATTCTTGTAGTGTGTATGTGCCCTGACCCGGGATGAACTCGAAACCCTGGTGTATCCAGGAGGGTGCTCTATCAACTGAAATACCCGGTCAGGGCCATTAAAACCATTTTTAAAGCAGGAAATATACTCTGTTCAACACCAACAAACTTCACAACGTTGAACACATTCACGTTAAGAATTGTTTTACTCGTATGTTGAGAAAATTCAACTTTTCCTCGGTGAGGAAGGGGTACTGTCGTCCCCACTCCTGCTTGAAGTTCCTGTCAGATTTTTAATTTTCCGAGGGAGCACTTCTGGGTTCCTTTCTCAGTTGTCATGATCTACGTTTCACTTTAGGCAAACGACTTCTCAGTTGTCATGTCTAGGTTCCACTTTAACCAGGCAAAATTCTTGTTTCTTCGGCTTACCTAGCTGTAGGAAAATTAAGACTACTACTAATACTGTACCTTTGCGGATGTTAGCTGACTTAAAGGTTTACAATCCTTATTTGTACTCGCTGGATGAAAAGTTCCACGAGAATATACTACACAGGGATTTTCTTAAGGCATCTGCTGCCTCCATGCCCTCGTGGCTATTTCCCAGTACTGAGCTGGGGAGAGGAATCAAGGTTTTGACATGAACGGGTAATGCGACGAGCAAGCTGTCCCCAGACCCCCATTTAAACAAAATCCCACACATAACACTTACCTTGTATGACATGCTCTGGCGAGATGGTCTTTTTTTCCGATTTGTTACAAATTTCATTGGCTTCAGAAGATATAAGATGAATGAATTCAGTGCAGCAGTTCACTACCAGCTCCCGGGCATCGTTGGCCACCCGGACATTGGGGAGAGTCTCTTTGATCATCTTATTGATAGCAGCTCTGGGAATAGTCAGATCATCATCGTTGCCAGATGAGGAAGCCATCGTATCTTCCTGCCTCCTGCGCTCCGACTTTTAAAAACTCCCCAGTTCTGGTCCACTACTCCACAAAGATTTTTCAAAAGGCCGCCCTTGGGGTGATCCCAGAGGCGCTATGAGTAGAGGGTGTAGAAAATGAAGCGGTAGGGGGCTGGCACTAGAGGGCGGGTAACACCCGAGTGTGAGATTTAGGGCGAGGCTGGGAGGAAAATCGAGGGGCCGAGGATTCTGGGGACAGCACTGCCGAGGTCGGAAAAGGAAAGCAAGGTGGTTAGGAGTTTGAGCACCGGGGAACCACCTTCGTGTATCCTTAGAGAGGAGGGCGCTGTCGCCTAACCGGTCCCCAACGGCGCCGGAGCACAAGCAAGGTCCAGGGGCACGGGCCCCGCTTTGGTTCCAGTCGGACACACAGAGGACTTGGCTCTACTGAGCCGGAGCCCCGGCTGCCGCCGCCGCCAGCAGCCGTTGCCGCCGTTTCGGCCAAACCATCCTTCAGACACCCACGCCGCCGCCTCACAACATGGCCGCAGCAGCTGCTGGAACCCAGGCGGGCGCCTGAGAACGAATACAGACAGTCAGGCACAAGGGAAACGGCACTGGAGGTCGCCGTAGCCGTTAAGCCCGAACGCAGATCGTGGAAGCCAAAACCGCGGCAACGGTGGTCCCTCAAGAGGCCAGAGAAGAGGTTTGGGGGAAGTCTGTCCCGACACCCTTTGCGCTACCGGAAGCCTCACCCCCTTAGTCCCCACTCCCCCGTCGAACGAGTTCCGGGTGTGACTGCCACCCTTCCCCCACCCGCACCGGCGGGAACCGCTGGACCTCGCGGCCCTCAGCTTTCTCCTGCCGCGGTTGCGGCACGCTCCCGCGGATCCTGCCCTTGTATGGGGGCCGTAGCCGGCCGAGCGCGCGCCTCGCCGTACCGGAAAACCTCGAGCACGCGCTTGCTCTTCGGCTGCGGCTCCAGACTGCTTTGGGTGGGTGGATCGCCTCAACAGCTGAGGCCTCGAGACCCTCTCTCTCCCAGCCATGTTCAGGGACAAAGGAACGCTGGATTTCGTTAAAAAAATTTTTTTGTTGTTGTTCCTCAAAGAGCCCGACTTGGGATTAAACAAGAACAAGGTCTTGGCTCTGGGGAAAGCAGAAGCCGGTGTTGTCTGCCTGTTCCTGCACAGTCTAGAGGAAAAGCTTCTGATGGTACCTAATAGACGTTATTGGGATCAAAGCTCTCAGTGATCCTCCAGAGCTTCGTGTTATGGGAAACAAAACATGCAGAGAAGTGCCTTGCGTTCCCAGTCACTACTAATGGCTAAACCGAAAGCTAGAAACAAGATACAGCGTAGTGGAAATAATGCGTAGCATACAATGAGCCATATTAAGAGGTTCCAACTTAGCCATTATTAATGGTGTATTGCACGTTGGCTTCTGGAGAGGGGAAAAAAGTGTGAAAGTAAGCAGCTCTGAGCTTTTCGTCTGTCCAGAGTGACTAGTAATATCGATGTGTGTAAAGTTCTTCACAAAAAATTGCATTATTTTTTAAAAATTAAGCTTGTCATAGTGTCATTTGGAGGAAGAGCCTGAATAGTGGGGTGTTGCAATTTCTAGAAAGTAAGTCAGGTACTGTTTAAATCAGTTATGGCACTTTAGTTAATCAGCTACATTGTTCCTCATGTATTGGACAGCAGCTGGCTTGTTTGAAATGTTTTCTTTAAACCATTTTATTTAAGGAAGACCCTAGATGTGGCACCTCAAGGAGACCTTGGTTAATCACACTGCCTCCCCCCTCTTTTAGCATTTTCTCTAGCACACTTGAGGGTTCTTTAATTTCTAAGGTGCAGACTCTTGTTCTTCAATGCTGCTAAATTTAAACCCAAGTTTTTTTTTTTACAATAAGTTATAACATTTGTAATTGGAAGCTTAACATTTAAAAAAAAGTAAATTATAGTAGTCTTTATGTTCATTTATCATTGCTAACACACCAGTTGCTAGCTGGTAATACAAATTGAGAATAACCAACGTCTATTTTGTACTTCTTTTATGATTAGCACTGTACTTCGTTTTTTACTTAAGTACTTAAGTTTTATTTGATACTCATAGCAACCTTATTTACTAGATACTGTTTTAATCTCCATTTTACAGATAAGAAAAGTGAAGCTGGGAGAAGCTAAATAACTTCCCTAAAATCAATATAGCAGTCAGGAGTCTAGATTATGTTGTAAGAACAAATAACCCCAAAATCTCAAAAGGTTTATTTCTTACTCATTTTATAGGTTCATCCTGAGTCTGCAAGAGGATTTATCACACAGTAATCACTAAAGAATCCACTGGAACTGTTGGGAAGAAGTAATGAAGGTGCCTTGAAATTTAGGCTTTTGACAGCTGGAAAGGAAGAAAATAATTTGTGTTCAAAATAATATAAAGTTGTGGAGACAGAAATTGCTCTGGGAACAGTGAGGAGATCGCCTTAATTGAATTAAAGCATTTGTGTTTACAGTAGTGAGAGAGAAGTAAGAAAGCCAAATACATGAGACAGCAGAAGTCATGAAGTAATAGAAGCCAAGAAATAGAGAGAGGGGAGAAGAGAGAAGTCAGTTGTAACTAGAGCAATAGAAGAAAGGTAAGAAGCTTTCTTTAGGCCTCAAAAAATCATGTCAGAGTTCAAAAAAAATGGATCACCTGAGTGTTGGTGTGTTCTGCTGTTTCATTCTTTTTTTTTCCCCCAAGATGTTATTTATTTTTAGAGAGGGGAAGGGAGGGAGAGAAACATCAAAGCGCTGGAGAAACGGCCATTTCCAGCTGGGGACCTGGCCTGCAACCCAGGCATGTGCCCTGACTGGGAATAGAACTAACAACTTAGATCCACAGGCCAGTGGATCTCAGTGCTCAATCCATTGAGCCACACCAGTCAGGCCTGTGTTTTGCTTTTGAAAGGGACCATAGACCTCCATGAAACATTTTCCTATGCTTCTTTACTTCCTATGTATCTTCGTAATACTCTTCTAGAATTCCCATTTTTGTTCTACACAACTTGAAAGAGCCCAACTCATTCAAGGGCTTTGGCTTCAGATTAAGGCTTGATGCTGACTGCCACATAACTAATTTGGGTAGGGTATTTAAGTTGTGTCTTGCTTTTTCATCTATAAAATAAGGATAAGAATACCTGCTTTAAAGGGTATTTTAAAGCTCAAATTATGTAATATACACAAAGTATTTAAACCAGAATTTACATGGTAAATAAATAATAGTAGTTGTTTAAAAAAAAATCATTATTGCCCTGATTAATATTGCTCCTAGGAATGGAGTAAAGAGTTTGAAAAGAGAGGTGATTTCAAAAACTATTTCACAGAAAGAATTGAAAAAAACCTACAGTTTGGACCCAAGATAATCAAGGAAACAAGACTAGCCAGATACAATTATAAGACTTGAGATTAGAGATTAGGGTGGTGTCAAAAACAGCAAAACTGAAAGGGAGGAATTTAGAGGAAAGGTGCTTGCTTTTGTACATTTGGGTTTGAGGCAACAATAGGCATTTAAGAAGGTGACATGGGCAGTAAAAAGAGAAGACAGCATCTTATTCCTACATTCATTCAACACCTGAGTGTCTACTGTCCTGAGTATGGTATGAGAGAAATAAGGATGGCTATAATATCATCCTAGTTTTCAACCAGTTGGGAGAATCACAATATAAGCCAGAAGGAAATAAAATACTATGATAAACACATAAACTAAGAGTATGTAGAGGAAGGATTGATTAACATACAACTTGTGAGGTACAGAGGGCTTTAGGGAAGACTCAACATTTTAACTGAGCCTTAAAGATTGAGTACAATTTTGACACAGAAGGAAAGAATATGCAGCTGAAGAAGAAACATAAAAGTACTTTGTATGATACAGAAAAATCAAGTAGCCTAGAGTGACTCTATCTATAGGGTTTGTAAAGAGTTACAGTGGGATGAGCTACAGGAAAGGTAAATTAGGCTCAAAACATAATAAATCAGTGCCTATTGTGAATTATACCCCTTGCTAGTAATATTCATATTTACTTTATCATTTAATAACCATACAAAATGAGTGTTTTGATGACTAGGAAAACAGTTTTAGAGAGGTTTACTAATTTGTTCAAAGTCTCACAAATAATAGCATTGAAGCTAGAATTTGAAACCAGATTGTTGTTTAACTCTGAAGCTTAGGCTATTTTCAATGGTAACTATCTCGAAATAAAAAAAAAAAAGTTATATTCATTTTAACATCTTAAAAATATAAAGCACTTCACATGTATTTGGCCTTTGTTGCTAGTCTTTAATCTCTTTTTGTAATGGGGAAATCAAAATGCAGCAATACTATGCAAGGTCACAGAGTGAGCAAATGGTAGATTGGGAATGCAACCCAAGCTTTCTGACTCCAAAGCTTCAGATCTCTCCAGCATCGTTTTGAGGAGTCCAGAGTTCTTTAGTCAGCAGAAAGAGCCAGTGAACTTTTGGAGAAGGGAAATGGCATATATGTTTAAAAAGATTACTCTGGGATAGCATGTGGGATGGACCAGAATGGAAAAAGACAAGGACACAAGTTATTAGGCTATTATAAAAGCAAGTTGACAATGAGGAGGACCTGAACAAAGAGCTCAGTGATTATGAGATAGAGGGAACAAATCAGAGGCATTTTGAAAAAGAATTTACTCATACAGGATTTAGCTCCTAATTGCATGTGCAGTGAGGTAGGAGAAGCAAGTACTGCAGAGTGTAGTCAGTGACTGGTTTATCCCTCCCTGCCTCTCTGGGGCCAACAGAGTTCCAGGCACATTTTAGGCCCTTAATAAATATTTGTTAACTCTGAAAGTGGATGAGGATCTTTGAAGGTGATAGAGTAAAAAGAAGTCCAAAGACAAAAAGCAAAAAGAAGAAAATACATTAAGGAGTACTTGATAGGAACCAAGAAAGCAAAGGTGTAGAGGAAATTTTGAGGGGAGAGTTGCAAGACTATGAGAAGCCACAGAGAGACATTGTTGGAAGGGGATCGAACATGGTGTTCTTGAAGTAAAATATCAACAGTAGAGAGCATATGTCAACATGCAAATAGTTAAGAGAGCAATGGGGGAAGAACTGTAACCGAGGAACATAAAGTATACTTTTAAAAAGTTTGGTGGTGAAAGGAAAGCAAGCAATGGGACAACAATTTGAGGAAGAAATAGGGTCAAGGAAGAATTGCACAAGCTAGAAGACACATGTAGTTCAAGGAAAAAAAAGGTTCAAGGAAAAAAAGTCCAGAGTAGGGTAGTTTGGAAAAAAAAAAAGCAAAATATGAGCTTAAGGAAATGAAGGTGGATGAGATTGGAAAAGCACAGATGGAGTCATCAGGATTAGATGCACAGATCTGGGCATGCTTCACAGAGAGCAGAGATTTAAGAGGAGATTATTGGCGAGTGATTATAGACAATGATGGCAAAAGGGGATGAGCAGAAGAGGAAGAGAATCTTTAGAGAATGACCACTGGCCATTCTTTAAAGGAGTGATCAGAGAAAGAGAGAGAGCAAGAGTTGTATAAACTCACTTATAAACTGATACGCCGGGTGACAGACTGAGAAAGGTAGCCAAAAGTGTCAAGTGTAGCCAAGTAGGGAACGGATAGTGTTCTCCAGTGACATAAGTACAAGCAGTTCGTGAACAAAAACCTTGGAATTCCTTCTTTTGTCTATTTAGTTAAAGTTGACAAATTTCCATGAGTCAACTTTGCAAGTAACTCAAAAATGTTAAGGTAAATGATAAATCCCTTTGTCTATAGGTAATACATTTAACATCTGATGCAAATAAATATTTATTTCAAATGACGTCAATTTTGAATCTAATTCAACCATGCTAATTCATTTTAAAAACATTTGAAGCAGATGGAACTAGGAAGCCTACTTTTGTAAATCCCACTTACTCATTTACACATTGCTTTCATTCAACAAATGTTTACTGAGTGTCTAACATATACTTTGCTAGGTACTGGGGATATGGCAATAAACAAGAAAGACACCATCCTGGACTTCACGTGTAAAGAAATAATCCTAAAGACGCAGGGAGGGAAGCTGTGTTTTGTCACATTGTTGACAATGGAAAAATAAAAATCTAACAAATAATAAAGAAATGATTAATTATACTTGAAGAATTATTTAGTGTAATTGGAGAACTATTAAATAGCCATTAAAATTATTATGTATGAGCATGGTACTTTTCAACTCATATTAAAGCAAAATACAACATTGTTATTAGAACTGTGAAAATACTTTTTTTTTAATTTTTATTTTTTTTATTTTATTTTAGTTTATTTTTTCAAATACATTTGTCTCTGCCTCCCCCTCACCACTTTCCCTTGCCCCCTTCCTCCTTCCCTCCCTCAGCTCTTCTGAAAATACTTATACACATTGGTAAAGGCTTATAGAAACAAGTAAAATAATTAGCATAGGTGTGTTGGAAAAGGGAAGTTATCGCTTATTTTACTTTTTTATGATGGAATATTATTTAATTTTATTTTAAGTATATTTTATTGATTATGCTATTACAGTTGTCCCATTTTTTTCTCCCCTTTATTCCCCTCCATCCCGCACACTCCCCATCAGCATTCCTCTTCCTTAGTTCATGTCTATGTGTCATACATATAATTTCTTTGGCTTCTCCATTTCCTATATTATTCTTAACCTCCCTCTGTCTCTTTTATACCTACCATTTATGCTTCTTATTCTGTGTACCTTTTCCCTCATTCTCCCCCCGCCCCCTTTTCCTCCCCTTTGATATCCACTTCTGTGATTCTGTTTCTGTTCTAGTTGTTTGCTTAGTTTGCTTTTATTTTTTGTTTTAGGTTCAGTTGTTGATAGCTGTGAATTTGTTGTCATTTTACTGTTCATAGTTTTTGCTCTTCTTTTTCTTAGATAAGTCCCTTTAACATTTCATATAATAAGGGCTTGGTGATCATGAACTCCTTTAATTTTACCTTATCTGGGAAGAACTTTATCTGCCCTTCCATTTTAAATGATAGCTTTGCTGGATAGAGTAATCTTGGATGTACGTCCTTGCCTTGCATGGCTTTTAATACTCCTTGCCAGCCCCTTCTTGCCTGCAAGGTTTCTTTGGAGAAATCAGCTGATAGTCTTATGGAACGCTTTTGTAGGTAACAATCTCCTTTTCTCTTGCTGCTCTTAAGATTTCTTCCTTATCTTTAATCTTGGGTAACACAGTTATGATATGTCTTTGTGTGTACTTCCTTAGGTCCAACTTCTTTGGGACTCTGAGCTTCCTGGGTCTCCTGGAAGTCTATTTCCTTGGCCAGATTGGGGAAGTTCCCCTTCAATATTTTTTCAAATAAGTTTTCAATTTCTTGCTCTTCCTCTTCTCCTTCTGGCATCCCTATGATTTGGATGTTGGAACGTTTACATTTAAAGTTGTCCCAGAGGTTCCTAAGCCTCTCCTCATTTTTTTTGAATTCTTGTTTCTTCATTCTGTTCTGGTTGTATGTTTATTTCTTCCTTCTGTTCCAAGTCGTTGATTTGAGTCCTGGTTACCTTCAATTTACTGTTGGTTCCCTGTTTATTTTTCTTTATTTCCCTTTGCATAGCCTTCACTTTTTCCTCTATTTTGCAACCATACTCAACCATTTCTGTGAGCATCCTGATTACCAGTGTTTTGAACTGTGCATCTGATAGGTTAGCTATCTCTTCACCATTTAGTTCTATTTTTGGAGCTTTGATCTGTTCTTTTATTTGGGCC